AAACCAGAGAGGAAATGTGGGGAGGGATTCTAGTGCTTCGGTTTAGCTATTTCTTAAGGCCTGATGGCATTCTTATTACTGGACTTCATGATGCCCAATACAGGAAATTTTTACGTGTTGAGATGTGGGGAAGTCATTCTGGCTTATACACGAGTTAACTTGAATTATATTCTAACTAGAACAGCCTGTTGGTGGCCTATAAAACCTACACTGTATATCTGCTTTAATTATTAAAGAAAAGGGTGCATTGACCAGAAGTAAAGAATGTCCATGTTAAAATAAAGACTAAATGCCTCCCTTCCTGGGATGCCAGTGCTGGTACTCCTTTGATGATAAGACTCCCTTCCCAGGTGCCAAGGCCATATTGACTTGCTGTGTACATGCTGATCTGTTTTTTTGAAACCTTGAAGGAAAATATCCTTGACTTGTTTGATGTTCTTTGCTCTGACAATGCATAAAACAGTGCTGAAAACTCTGCTTCTCTGGAGCAGTTCCTCAGAGTAATCCGGGAAGCTGGCTTCTGGATTATAGTCCTCAGTTTGGCTCAAATAAAACTCTTTTCTCTTCCTGTTATAGATTGTTTATTGATTTTCATTGACAGAGTCCCCACCCAGGTTTGTTTACTTATTTATTTACTGCTAAAAGAAAATGACATAGCTTCTCCTATTTGCAAATAATGATGCCCGATTAATTCACAAAAAGTAGCTAAATGTCTGTGACTTCAATGGGTCCATAGCTTATCCCAGGGAGAAATTTAAGAGTATAATACATGATGAAATTTTGTGTAATAGTTATTTCTTATTGACTGTCTATAATGTTTGGGGTACTTATGCATGCTTATGTTTTAAGTGCTTATGGATGCTTATTTCTAACATTCATTGCAGTCTTGTGAGGCTGAAATGATTATCGCCATTATATAGAAGAGGAAATCTAAGCCGCAGAGTGTTATAAATTACACAGCTAGTGACACATTTCAAATTGTGGGATGCTGCTTTCTGTTTCGAAAATCAGGTGGTGTTCACCCAGCAACACAACAGACTTTCCTGAAGGCCAAACTTTCCAATCCCCTGTCTGCGTCACTCCGTACTCCTCATTTCAACAAATGGCACCTCAGTTTTACCTGGTTGTTCAGTCCAAGGTTCAGTTTAACCTTCGCTTCACAAAAACTTCACAAAATTATCTTTTACTCTTTTCTTTTTTCCCACCTCCTTCATCTATCTCATTATCAAATCCTACTAGATCATTTCCACAGTTCACTCAGAATAGACCTCTTCTTACCCCTCTAAGCCTCGTTTTGTCGATGGGGATGCCACCACTCTCCTTATTTCAATTCTTGTGCCCACCTCACCACATATTCTGTTTTCTGCAATGTATACAGAAGAAATCTTTTAAAAAATAAATCTTCTCATGTCACTTTCCTGCCCCAAACTCTCCAATAGCAACTTGAATTGGCCTTTCCATCCCTTGACCTCATCTGGTCCCCCTCACACACTCTCTCCAGCCTTGATGTCTTCCTTGCTGATCCCCAAACACTTCAAGCATGTTCCTCCTCAGTGCCTTTCTGCTTGCTGTTTCCTTAACCAGGGATGCCTTTGTATAGAGGCAGCCCCTTTGCCTAGACTCTACCTTTAGTTAGACAGTTGCTGGAGCCTCTAGGTCAGAAAGACCTTCCCTAACAGCTCTTTTGATGGTGGTGCCCTCCTGCCACCTCCCTCTGGAGCCCTTATCTCTACCTGATGTTACTTTATTCATTTCTTTATATATGTTTGTTCCTGTCTTCTCCCACTAAAATGTAAGCATTATGAAAGTAAATATTTGATCTGTTTTGTTCACAGCTACATCTCTAGGACAATCAGAACAGTGCCTGAAATAAGATAGAGGCTCAGTAAAGGACTGAGTGAATGAATTAAAGGGACTGGATACTTTAAATCTAAGTTTTAAAAATCAGATTTACATGGCTTTGCATTTTCTTTTACTTACTATAAGAACCACACTCCTCTTAAATTTTTCCATTCAGAATATACCCTTTTTCAGAATATGCTCATACTTCCATAAACTCTTTATTACTTTGTAGCTTACTGTTTATTGCCTTGCAGTCCTTGATCTATTCATTACAAATTGGAATGCATGTGAAAGATTACAATATTTTTGGAGCTACATGAAAAATTACAATGTTTTTCCAATCTTGTTCTCTTTCACTGTGCCCTATAAGCCCTGTAAATTCTTTGATTAATAACAATGTTGACCGCTATTTCTCTCTCTTTTAATTTTTGAAATAAAGATTTGACTGTTTAGGCTTCTGTTTGGAAGACAAATACACCATAGTGGCAAAGCACATAAAGATGGTAGACCTAGCTCCTCAGAGATAAAAAACAAAAAGAAAAACAAAAACCAATCCCACCTTCCCTGTTGTGGATTATTCATTCATTCAACAAGCACTTATTTCCTACACAGTACATCTCACGGAAGAGATGGTAGAACCAGGACCAGGGTCTGTGTTTTCAGATCAGTGGCCTTGTTCAGAGGGTAGAATATGTTTTCTGCTGCAGATGTTGCAAATTTCAGACTAAGATTTTAAATACTGATACCTGATGTTGTACAAGATATGTGAGATGAACACAATTCCCCTTTTCCCACAGAAATGGATTTTTAAACTTATTATTATTTTTTTTTATCAAACGGGAATAAACTTTTATTAAACATATACAACACCAGGGTCACAAAAGAAGAGTTAGCGCTGAAATATAAACTAGAAGCGTGAAACCAAACTCACGTGTGGTTCAGAAATTATCGACTGGAGATTTTCCAAGGGAGGAGAAAGGATTTTTTTGCATGAGACTTGAAAAATGCAGATAGGAGCAAATACACAAATGCATGAAGTTAAAATAGGCCATTTCCGTGTTTTTACGACTTGTTCTATCCTGAGATTCTGTCGCGCAAGTTTCCCATATTTGATAAAAAGGCGACACGACCTGGGCACAACCGGCCTATCCTCTCGTAGACCCTAACCTTGGTCTTGGAACTTACCGCCTCACTGCCGAGCATTTTACAGAGGCCATGATTTTCAGATACACAGACGTGCGTACGAAGTAGATGCGAACAGCATCAGCCTTTCAGGTTTACTAGCAGGTTCGAGGTTTCGGCGACCCGGAAGCATTTCGGCTCAGAATGTGAATTTTTCGCGACGCTAAGCACATGTGGGGGACCGCGCTGCGGACCGAGTTTTGTCGATTCCTCGCTGGGTTTGGCCCTGGAGCCAACGAACCCGGACGCGGCGAGGCCTCTCGGCCGTCCTTCGGGGGCCGCGGCGCACCGGCCGCCTGGGAACCTGGGCCGCCGAGCACGGGTCGGGGAGAACTGGGGCCGGGAACCGCGACCGCCGCCACCCAGCACGGGCCGGGAAGGCCAGAAGGACGGCCGGTTGGCCGGCGTCTGCGGGGCGCGCTGGGCCAGGGTGGAGGCCCCAACTACCTGAAGATGTTGTGCCGCCTCCATGCTCCGGTTCTGGTTGCTCGAGCGCACCACCGCCACCTGCAGCCGCGACGACGGTCCGCGACTCCCACTGCGAACTCCCACCCAGCCGCGCCGCTTCCGCGCGAGCAAGATTAAACTTAATATTTTTTCTTCACTCTTACAGATATTAGTCAGTGTTTCATATTTAATCAGTAGCGTTCCTAAAACCTAACATGCTTTAAGCATTAATGTGTTCTTAGTGACACCTATCAACCATTTTCACTTTGTTTTAAGCTTACATTTTTCTTGGTTATTAACCACTTCATAAAACTTTTATATATTTTGAATGCATAGAATGTGACGGTAACTGTCCTTGAAGAGTTTATATTAATAATCATTTACAGAGGACATTTGAGAGGACAGCATGTCTATGGATGGTTGAATGAAACAAACACCTAGATTAGGGGACGGGCACCCTGGAGAGGTTAAAGGCAAAATGAATCTGTTTCATAGGACTATGATCTGGCTTGCATCAATTCAATTGAACATTTAGAGTGGACTTAGTATGGTTATACAAGTGAATAGAAAACTGCCCCTTTTTACAAGTTTCACAATCTAGTAGGAGAAATGGATACAGGGACTAGAATATATGACCAGTGGAAAGCTAACAACCTGGATGAAAGAGGTCAAAGGGAGTATAATGTGATACAGAGGACTGGAAAGGGAGGAGGTGCTTAGAGACACTAAACTTCTTCTGTTCAGTCTATATTTTTTGAGTTCTGAATTCTTACCTGCCAGTTCCATATCTTTTATGTAGTGAGAGAGTAGGATATTTAAATGAAAAACCAACCACATGGTCTTAAATTATTAACAAAGTTTATAATATAATCACATTATATTTGTCAAATACTTCTGAGTTATGTTAATCTTTATCACGTCCCAGGATAATCTTCTAAATACATGACTATTCACATTATGTTCATAATTATTTCCATTTTGAAATTGATTGTTCTAAAGATAAGAAAACCTCAGGATAGTTTGTTTCTTAAAATCTAAGCTATTTAACAACAATGATGGCACCTGTACAATGAAAGATTTTCTCAAAATGCCCTCATTTAGGGCTTCCCTGGTGGTGCAGTGGTTGACAGTCCACCTGCCGATGCAGGGGACACAGGTTCGTGCCCCGGTCCGGGAAGATCTCACATGGATATAAAGAGTAATTTTACCTTCACTGGACCTCCAAGCACCTCACATGCCGCGGAGCGGCTGGGCACGTGAACCATGGCCGCTGAGCCTGCGCGTCCGGAGCCTGTGCTCCGCAACAGGAGAGGCCACAACAGTGAGAGGCCCACATACCGGAAAAAGGAAAACAAAAACAAAAAAATGCCCTCATTTAAAATGCACTGCTAAATTCTGTTGCAAATGACATTTGTTTTCTGCAACAAACATTATTTGCTATATTCGTGGTATATGAATGCCTTTGAAGTTTAGCTTATTCCCCAACAAACTTAACTCCCCCTAATAACTGATTTCTCAAGAGTACTTACATACTCTTCATACCCCTCGTGGGCTGGAGGAGGGGGTGCCCTGTATCCTGGCACAGTGGGTGATGCCCGTGCTCGCGGGGTAGGGACGCCTCTTGCTACAGGGGGCACTGGAAGAGCACCACGGGTCACAGTGGTCCCTCGAGGGGTGAGAAGGCCTCGTCCAGGTGGTGGAGGAGGAGGAATGGCACCCCCACGGCCCCTAGGAGAAACAGGTCACATACAGATGAGAAACAATGAGAGCAGGCAAAGGCTCTTATAGCCTCTATACAATGGGAAGAAAACCACATTTATTTCTGCATGTCTGAGTGTTGTGAGTGTGTGTGTTTAATGGAGATTCTTTAGGATATAAAGCATTTTGACCTCCACAGAATAAGTTTTGTAAATATTGGTTATGACTTAGTTATCATAAAAACCATGTAAAATAATTTGATATTTTCTTTTATAACACTAAAAATTCAAAGCAAAGCAAACAAAAATCAACCCACTCTGATTTTTATTCCAAATTTACCAAAAGTGCCTCAAATGAGAGCAGTGTCTAGTACATGACTCACTGTACCATTCATAGCTGCTAATTGTCAATGTCTCCTCCATGCTGGAGCTTATTGACAGTGATGGGCAATTTTGTCACTTACAAAAAAAAAAATCTGTCTGCACTTCGATAAAATGTGGAACTCTAACCATCATGATATCATTCTGCTTATTATAGTAGCTTAAGTTTGAGGTCATTGTCACTGATTTATCATTATGCGTGTAACCCCCTGAACTGGTACAGTCCCTGATATAATTTATTTCCTATGGTAACTATGGTGCTAGTGAAATACATGAGGGCTCTGCAAAAAAAATAACACACTGAGTACTTGGTACTGCAGTGCTTGACACAAAATTAACTTGTACTAAAAGTGTAAGATCAAATGGTTGCAGTAAACTCTTATGGTATTCTGAGGCCTTTGGAAAGGTTGAGTGTTTGCCTAAAGTTTTTGGGCAAAAGCATGGTTATTTCACTTTTTATTATGTCTGAAAATTTGGCCTCTAGAAAGTACTGCTTTCAGCAAGAACGCTAAAGCTCTGGAGGAAATAATGATCACGGGATGTGAACCATCACACTGTTTGGCTGCACCCACAGATGGGGTTGTAGGTTATGCTTTCTGCTATGAGGAGCAGTCAGCTGGCTCTTGCAGAAAATGAGCTTGACGAGTGAACAATAAGAATGCTGGCAAAGCTTTTAAAAGTTTTAAATAGATTATAGAGCTGATGAATAGAGAAATTATTAGAGAACTTACTGTGAGTCTAATATACAGAGAATGCTCTCCTGCACTGGGAGGTCCTAGAAGGCCCAGTGCTCACTTCAAGCACAGTGGAACTGAGACCACAATATTCTACATTAGCATGATAATATAAAAGCTGATCTATAAGATGGATATAAAGAGTAATTTTACCTTCACTGGACCTCCAAGCACCTTATATAGAGGGTGTGCATACATCCAGGTTTGCCCAGAATAGTTCAGAATTACAACTGTTGTCCTAGTTTAGCATTTTAATACTTTCAACAGTGTCCCTGTGTGGGTGGTAAGTTATATGTCACCTTACTTTAAACTATATTCACAAGTTATATCTATACCACTGAATAATCACAGGTAAGTGTTATAACTCCCTGAGCCTAAAGTAGATTATTTTTCTAAAGGGTAAAATAAGATTTCTGAATCTGTAGCAATTCTTCCTGCTTTAAAATTATATGATGCTCAAATCAAATCTAATTTCTCATCCCATTCCTTCAACTGTCTCTTAGACAGAGCCCTGGAAAATCTGTCTCTTGAATCTGACTCATTACCTCCTACACATTACATCCCTTCCCTGGAATATTAACCCTATATCTGTCTTCCACTCAAGTCCTCAGTTCAACTCAAGATTCACATCACCTATTTAGAACGTAGTGTCCCTGGCTGAATACACACTACAATGTTCTTTCCTTTATTTTTCTGACTTCTTGAAAGTTTTCCATCCTTAATTCTTCACCTCCTGCTCATTCCTGAATCAAATGCAATATAGTTATTACTTTCTCCTCTTTATTGAAAATACTCTTGACTGGTATCACCAGAAGCCTACTGGTTTCTAAATCCACTGGAAATCAGTCCCCATTCCACTGTAACTGTTATATTTATCACTATGGGTTACTATCTGGAAAATGCCTTCTTTGAACTTTTATGACTCTGCTTTTCTCCATATTTCTTCCTCACTCCTTTATATTCTTCAGGCTCATTCACTGACATCTACTCCTGGGCCCACCTTGGAATGTGGCTATCCCCATTTTTCCCCCCACCCTCCTTCTGTGCCTCACGGTGCACCCCTGCAGTCTCTAACCCTGATGGCTGTTAACTCTTTCCTTCCTACCACACACCATACCCTGGATCATGTCTCCTTAACTGGTCTGCATGTTAGAGTCACCTAAAGACCTTTGAAAACCTCCAGACTCCAGACCATACCCCAGGCCAATTAAGTCACAGTCTCTAGCAGCAGCGAGCTTTCAGTGATTCCAATGTGCAGACCAGTTTGGGAACCACTGCCTTACATGTGTTATCTAACTTAAAAATCTTGACAACCTTGTCATGTAGCCATTTCTAAGCCATTTTAAAGGTTGAGAACCAAGTCACAGAAAGTACAAGTCACCTTCCCAAGGTCACACTGGCAATCCATAGCCCTAGGATTAATTATATTCTTCATTATATTTGGTCCTTCACCTAATTTTAGTGGATGATATCATTAATTTCTAACCAGGGCAGACATGAGAGAATTATACTGTCTAAGACCACTCTCTTGTCTCCAACATCTAATTGGACACTAATTTGTTTAAATTCTAATCTCTAATCTAGTCCTTTATCTCTCTAACACTCCAAGTGGTATTCATTTCTGTGTTGGATAATGAACTTGTATTCTCCCTGGCTTCCTTGCCACACACCTCTCTGTCTGTCTTTCTCCCTTTGCTCTAATTCTTCTCTATCACTCACAGTGGTGACTGAGTAGTCTTTCTTGGAGACAAATATGATTAGTCCCCTCTTTAAAAAGCTCCATTAGATTCTATCTATGTATTAGTTCTCATTGTAGTAAACAAAACCTTCAAAATCTGCCTCAAATGTTTTATTTTCCACTGTTCACTCTCATTCAACATGTAGCAATGATGTGTGTGAAGATCTTAATTCTTCAATTACATAATATATATTATTATAATATATAGCTGTAATACTTTGTTTTCTGGTATGCATTATTATTGGAAGATTAGATAGTTTTCATAGATATGCTTGTTGAAACATAAATTCCTTTAATTAAAGAAATTTTCAACAAATTAAAGTTTTAAAAATATACCAGGTACCGTTCTTTTTGAATTTAAGTGTAACTGAATAACTTTAAAAAGTCACAATTTCATAAATATGTACAAATCAGCATCCATTAACCCATGTGTTCAAGAAATTTCTGATCAATATGATATACTGTTTCGTGAAGCTATTTTCTTATTCTTATGTAATTGCAGATACATTTCATCATGTGGTTTGAAACAGAAGACAACAGAGTTCTGCTACATTTACTTTTATTAATGTTAATACATTAATTACATCAAGGTAGCATTGAAAGTGAGGTTTAATTTTCAATATTAATTTTCTTTTTTTAACATATGCAGTATCAGATTGTATGATATATGGAATGCTAAAAAGCAAAAGCTCTCAATCAAATTTTTCTTCTAAGATATTTAAAAATCTAGATCATAATGCACTCTTCTTTATTAAATAATTAAAGAGATTAATATTTTACATTAAAACTTCACTGAAATTGAAATCTTATATGGTCCACTCAAATATGACAAACATATTATTACTTTATGGAGCACCAATAACAAAACAAAGCCTTTTAATATGATGATTTTGTAATCTCAAAAGCAGGTTAATGCATAATTTTTTTAAATGGTCCCTATTCCAAGGAATATAGAATAGAAAAAAACTTCTTGCCTCTATAGTCATTCAATACATACTTAGGTTACACCATATAAAACTGCCAAAATTATCATTTTTTGAACTACAAAAATGACAATTTCATTATTAAAACCCTATGATTTAATCAGTTTAAGATTGCCTGCAATGATGTCATTTCACAACCCATCATGATGAAGTTAATATAAAGGCTTTTTAAAAGCTGATTCCATTTTTAAAAAGTCCATAAAAAATGTTATGTCACATTAATTTTTAGCAATAAACTAATGTTCCTAGGTAGTATTAGAAAGCTCATATAAAAATTTTTTTAAAGAAAAAAATGTGAAAATAATCACTGAAACATTTTCACAAGTTTTTCCTTTAATCAAAGGAATGTCTATAATTACCACATTTTACCTTTAGTCAATTATTTCCTTCATATTTTATTTGGAAATTGATCATTCTTAACTTCTTTTCTGATAGTGTAAAATTTTTTGAGGTGTCTGTGACTTAAATGTTAAAAATAGTGGTGTTTTGAAAGGTGGTGAAAATATTTGGGGAGTAATTTTAAAAATAAATTGAATCAGCAAAGTATCTTAGAATCTCTTAAGATGGTTTCTATGCAATATATGAAATAGTATTCTAAATCTAAGCCGTTTAGAGATTTGAAGGCCAACTATAACAGGATAAAGAGAATGACAGAGTTACACAGTCTGTGTGTGAAGGCTATGAGTATTTTTCACTTTACCTCTTTGCAAAACAATGCTTTCTCTTGAAAGCTTGGCAAATGTAGAATCCTACAAAACAAATTCTGTTGCAGAAAAATTCCAATTTCTTTGAAAAGTGAACAATATCAAATAAAATCTTCTCTGATGACATTGCAGAGTCAAATATAACTAAGCTTTAAATATTCTTACCATCAGCCATGTAACAAATGTGCTTCTGGCTTTCTGGACTAGAGGTGTGTGTGTGTATATATATATATAAATGTGTGTGTGTATATATATAATACACATACATATAATATATATATATATATATAATCTACTTATCTATCTAAACATCTATATATCTACCTACCTACCTATATCTATCATTATCCTCATCTATCTGTCTACCTATCTGGCAAGACTGTATTAATTCATGGGCCATTTAAGGCATAGATAATATTTGTAATTTTCTCTTCATTCAAGGTCATCCTGGTTTAAAGATGCATATGATTGAATCATCTGCATGTCTTAATCCTGGGGACAAAACCAAAAATTAGAAACTCTTAGGTTTGCTCCTCTTATTTTCTTAGGAAGTTGTTAAGAGCTCAAACTCTGAATTCTAGAGTCAGACTGCCTGTGTGTCCTCAGGCATATTGCTTACATCTTTATCAGTTGCTCACCTGTAAATAATGCTTAACCCTACTATGGAGGATTTGATGAGTTAATAACTTATATAAAGCTCTTACGAGCTATATAAGCATCTGTTGTTATTGCTTTTGTGGTGGTGGTGTTTATTGTTGCTGATATTGTTGTTGTTTATTCCTAGCTGTGATCATGACACAGAACAGGCCAGCAAAGTATTGCCATCCTTATTGGCTGTTAATTTATTTAAAGTAAGAACAAATGTACCTTGAAGGAGTTGTGGGAGCTATTCTGATCCCTCTTCCTCTAATACCTCTGCCACGACCAGAGTCCTCTGAGCCATTTAAGTAAGATAATTCACGTAGTTGTTCCTGACGAATTTCATCATTGTAGTCCTATAAGAAAAAACATAACCTGATGAGCTAAAATGGAGCATGGAGTTCTTAGAACTGAACAAACACAATAAGAAAGGAAAATTTTCACTTATTTTCTGGTATACAAAAATCTAAAATGAGGTAAAAGTAAATATAAGTTCCTAGTTTTACAGAGAAACT